GGGGTGGGGGACGCGCCTGGCGCGGCCGCCGCAAGCGCCACTCAGACTTCTCCCTCTCACAATTGCCGCGGCTCGGCTTAGTCCTCTGGCTGCCCTGCCCCGCCCACACCCCTGTATACCTACCTGATTGAGCTGGAGAGGAACTAGCTCTGCTCCACAGCACCAAGGATAGCAGAAACCCCTCACGCAACTGCGTCCGCACACACGCGTGCTCCGCCGCCGGTTTATATAGCTGCCACTCACCCTAACTTGTTACGGCCAGGTCGGGCGACGGGATGACCAATCCCGACCACGTCCTCCGGGCTCTTCGAACAGCAATTGGGCACTTACTGGGGATGAAGGCGTGGCTCTTGATTGGCTTTGACTCATGCCTATGAGACTGTGAGGATCTCGTTTCCCTAGTAACAGATCGGCACTAAGAGAGACCAATAACCGAAAAATACAATAGAAAGGCGGGTGAGCAGTTCTTTGACTGATACCCAGAATAGCCAATAAATATGCGGGGCTGCTCTTATTCGTTAACACGTCTTCCCCTGGGCGGAGATCCGTTTTCCATGCAGGAGCGGTTGCGCCACAAGGTGGGGCCCGTGTACTTTGGGGAAGTAAACCCCTAGCAACTAGGAGGCGGGCGCCCGAGAGGCCAAGACAGCCTGTGGCCAATCGCAATGCCGGAAGGAGTTGATAGGCACGGAGGTTGCGCTGCTCGGAAGAGACCGAGCCCCAGGGCGACCGTGCCCTCTGGGCGGTTGTGAGGCTATGCAGGCTGCGGCTTCTGCTGTCTTTCCTTTCTTTCCCTGACTCGCTGGGTCCCGGCTCTGAGGCGTGCACACCGCCTTTTCTGCACAGTTTGGTACCTGTGGGGGACCAAGTGGCAAAGTTTCCCGGGTGGTTTTGTTTTTATTACAACTTTTTTCTTACATACGACGGCCAAGGGCCTTGCTGCCCTCACCATTACTCAGCACTGCTGTGGGGCACGGGAAGGAAAGTCGCTCCTGCGCCGCCTGCGGGCTCCCGCCGGAAGGTCGCCAGTGGAAGCGCCTGGGAGCGCGCCCTTCCGCCAGGCGCTTCCGGGCGGGTGCTGCGAGGCGGCCGCGGGCGTGTGGCGAGGCTCCCTTTGTGGCGGCTGAGGCACGGTGGTCCGCGCGTGCTCCAGTGCAGTTTGGGCCCTCGCACCACGTCTCGAGCCTCGGCACTATTGTTCAGCCTGCAATTGCAGCGGATAGGGGCTTATTCTCGTCGCTACGCCTTTAAAGGGCAACTCATCCCCTCCTCCTGGCCTCTCAGGCACTGGCGGGGCTATAACTCATGGCTGGGCGGCCCTGCGTGGGTCGCTGTGGGCATTTTCTGTGGAAATAGCTTTGGTTCCCAGCCGTCAGGCACAGACACGCCCCGGTTTGTTTTCGTTCCGGCATGTGACCAGGCGGGAGGGTCTGCCGCGGAGTTTCGCTGAGAATTTTGTAAATGAAGCACATGGAGCGCCTATGTAGGGGTAGAGAGGCCGAGCTGAAAGGAGCACGGGCGCCGGCCTCAGCCTGTGGGGAGCCGGGCCCGCTCGCCTCCCTGCGCCTGGCTAACCCGAGCCTGGAACTCGGGAAGCCCAGGAGCGAAGTGAAAGCCCCTTCTGGTCTTTCAGGGCTCCACTCCCGCAGCAGCCCCGCTCCGTCGGAGTCAGTGGAGCCCCAGGCCTGGGTCCGAGTTGAGCGAGACGCTGCCCTGGCTCGCGATTGCCCGGGCGCTCCCAAAACCAGGGAACAGTCCCCAGGAGAGAAGCCCCTGAAGTTTCCTGGAGCAGGGAATCTCCAAGATACTGTTCTGCAAAGGAATCTGGACTTTATTCTGAGGGCCGTGGAGAACCCCTGCAAAGTTTTTTAAAAGGTGGACTAAGATTGGCATTTCACAACATGACTCTTCAAATTGAAACACTAAGAAGATTGGCGAAACTTAACATTTACAGATTAGTAATTTAACCCAGGTGACCCTTACCCTTCATTTTTGGAGGGAATTTTAAGTGATACAGATCTTTTTGCCAAGCAATTTTTTTTTTTTTTGAGATGGATTCTCACTCTGTCGCCCAGGCTGGAGTGCAATGATGTGGTCTCGGCTCTCTGCGACCTCCGCCTCCCGAGTTCAAGCGATTCTGCTGCCTCAGCCTCCTAAGTAGCTGGGATTAAGGGAGGAGACTACCCCTCATATCGTCTGATGCCCAATTTCTGCCTCCAAAGAAAGAAGAAGTAAAAACTAAAAGGCAGAAAGAAATCCACAGGCAGCCAGCCCGGTGCAGCACCCTGAGCCTGGTAAAGATTGACCACTGACCTAATTGATTTTGTTATCTATAGATTACAGACATTGTATAGGAATACACTGTGAAAATCCCTATCTTGTTTTGTTCCCATTTAATTACCAGTGAATGCAGCCCCCAGTTACGTACCCCCTGCTTGCTTAATCAATCACGACTCTCTCACGTACACCCCCTTAGAGTTGTGAGCCCTTAAAAGGGACAGGAATTGCTCACTCCGAGAGCTTGGCTCTTGAGACAGAAGTCTTACTGATGCCCCTGGCCGAATAAACCCTTTCCTTCTTTAACTCGGTGTCTGAGGAGTTTTGTCTGCCGCTCGTCCTGTTACATTTCTCGGTTCCCTGACCGGGAAGCCAGGTGAATGGTGGATGGTCAAGGCAGCTCCTTAGGCGGCTTAAGCCTGCCCTATGGAACATCCCTGCGGGGGGACTCCAACCAGCTGGAGAGCTGAGAGCGCTCCCGGGTAGGCATTTGCCCTGGTGGTACGCTTCGCCAGAGCAGTGTGTGGCAGGCTCCCGTGGAGGATCAAAACAGTGGCTGAACACCAGAAAGGAACAGGCACTTGGAGTCTGGACATCTAAAATTTGGTAAGACTAGTCTTTGAAACTTGCCCACTCCATTTGAATGGAAGCGTGGCCTGATCACCCATGGCGTGCCTTTATTGGCACTTTGGTTTTGATTTTGATTTGGTTTGAGTTGCTTGACAGGACCGGTCTTGGGAACTTGTCCACTCCATTTGAGGGGAAGCGTGGGCTGATCACCGACGGTGTGCCTGTACCGGCACTTTGGTTTTTGTTTTTGACTTGATATTTTGGTGTTGGTTTTGACCTGGCTTGGATTCCTGGATACTCTGATTTTGGTTTTTATTTTGGTTTGGTGTAAACCACAAAAGTGTGTGTGTGCCCTTTTTACCCGTTCTTTTGTGGTGTGCGTGTGGTGTTAGTGTGGTGTTTTGTCTAGAGGAAACATGGGTAAGGCACAAAGTAAGCCCACTCCACTAGGAACTATGTTGAAAAATTTCAAAAAAAAAAAAAAGGATTTAAGGGAGACTATAGAGTACTATGACACCAGGAACACTTAAAACTTTGTGTAAGATAGACTGGCCAGCATTAGAGGTAGGTTTGCCATTAGAAGGAAGCCTGGACAGGTCCCATGTTTCAAAGGTATAGCACAAGGTAACATGTAAGCCAGGGAACCCAGACCAGTTCTTGTACATAGACACTTGGTTACAGCTGGTTTTAGACCCCTGCCCCCAACGCACAGTGGTTGAGAGAACAGCAGCGTAAGCGGCTGGCAGAGGCAAGGAAAGACCAGCAGAGAGAGAGAAAGGAAAGAGAGGGAAAGAGGCAAAGACAGAGAGAGGAAGAGACAGACAAAGAGGGAGTCAAGGAGAGAGAGGGAGAGAGAAAGAGGCAAAAAGAGAGAGGAAGAGACAGAGGCAAAAGGAAAGTCAGAGAAAGAAGGAGAGAAATAAGTAGTTAAAAAAAAGAAAAAAAAAGTACCCTATTCCTTTAAAAGCCATCATACCAATTCTAATTTGGACAAAACAAGGTCTTATGAATAGCAAAGGATAATTAAAATCCCAAACTTACAAGGTTTTCAACAAAAGTAAAGTTTGCTAAAAGTTAACAATGTAACATGTATTATAGTAACTTATATTCTTGTGGCCTTAGACAGTCTAGTCCACAGACATAAAAAAAGGTTCACTTTGGAAAAGAATGGTTATCATCTTCGGGAAAAAAAGGGGAAAAAAGAGGGGGGCGGAATTTATATAAAAGGAGTGTTTTATGGTAAATTCTTGTCCTGAAATAAATTAACTGGTTATTTAAAGAAATAAATGTTTGTAATAAGTCAGAAAGTTAAGGCATGTCGAAAAATTGCCTGTAAAAGTCGTGAAGGAGAAAAAAAAGTTATTTTAAAAAGTGTGTTAAGAAAGAATTTATGCAAAAAATGTTTTATAATTTAAAAGTAACTAGGCCTCCTGAATGTAAAACTATTGGGGAAAAAAAACAGTTTATGTGCAAGGTGTATAAGAAAAGCAAAATATACCTTTGGTAAAAGGATTATAAGGAGGCATAAGACTGTACATTTTTACCTACATTAAAAAGTTAAAAAAAAATTTTTTTTGTTTTGAAGGTTTAAGCAAGTTTGAAAACGTTAATTGTAAAGAACATTCTGTGTGTAAGCATATTAGCTAAAGTTAAAGAAGTATCATCCAGTTTTTCTGTGAACTGGACATTAAAGTAAAAGCATAACAGGTTTTTCTTAAAGCACCAACCTGTTCTTTAGGAAAAATTATAAAAGATTAAAAAGAGTCTATAAAATCTTACCTTATGGTCAAACATTAAAAATTAAATAAATATATCTACAAGGTTTTATTAAAATTAGGTTTAACATTAATGGCACACTAATATAAAGATAACCTTTAGCTTATCTGGTGTAAAAATCATACAAGAAGCATTGTTAAATGTAAAATGGTATTTGGCTTTCTTTGGTTTAAAAACTAATAAAAATAGGTGCTAAAGGAAATTTCTCAGTAAAAAGGCACTAAGGACTATAAAGTCCACTCCCAAGGTCCCCACATTTAAAACAAAAGGTCAATTTCTCAAAAATTATATACTTGGTTTATCTTCCACTTTCCTTTCTTGCAAAAAAAAAACCAAAAAAACAAAAAACTAAAAGTCTTTTAGCACATGTACCACCCCTAGAATTTCCAGTAAACCAGCACCAGCCTGAAGATCACATACTCATCAAAAGGTGGAAAGAAGAAAAACTCGAGCCAGCCTGGGAAGGACCCTACCTTGTGCTGCTAACCACCAAGACTGCTGTTCGTACAGCAAAAAAAGGATGGACTCATCACACCCGAGTCAAGAAAGCGCCTACCCCTCCAGAGTTGTGGGCCATAGTCCCAGGGGAAAACCCTACCAAACTAAAGCTAAGAAAAATTTAATTATTTTAGTGTATTCTATTACTCTTTCTTCTTTCCTCATTCTATTGCTGACCGTCTAGTTATTAATATAACCAAGTCAATTTCGCCACGAACTATTGCATTTAATGCTTGCCTTGTTATACCCTGCGAGGACTTGCCAAGTCAAAGACAGCTTTCTACTTCAGAAAAGTACTTCTGTCCCTCCTGACTCTCCTCAGACTAGGCATTAGTAAACTAGGACCATTTAATCTGAGGAGATTTCGATAAAGACCCCAGTGCCAACCATGAGTGTTGCCCCCCGATGTACAGCTTTCATGCCATAGTTGGTCCAACATTCTGTGGACCACTAAAGAGCAAGGATGGACTGCCCCGACTGGTTTTTGTAATTTCCCTAAAACCATACATTCATTTTACTAGAGGATCATAGAAGTTAAAGACTTAAACTTTAGCAATTAAGACAGGATACCAAGATGCAAATGCCTGGTTAAAATGGATCAAATATTTCCATCTGCATGTTAAACAAAAGCAATTGTTATGCTTGTGCACATGGCAGGCCAGAGGCCCAGATTGTCCCCTTTCCACTAAGGTGGTCCTCCAGTCGACTAGGTGTGGGCTGCATGGTAGCTCTTTTCCAGGATTCTACAGCCTGGGGTAATAAGTCATGCCAAGCTCTCTCTCTGCTATATCTCAAAGTCCGGCACACAGTGTTTCAGCCCCTGAGGGCCATCCAGCTTCCATCTCCCAATATTAAGTTCACTTCGTGTCTCTCACGACAGGGAGGAAACTTAGCATTCCTTGGAGACCTGAAAGGATGCAGTGAGCTTAAGAATTTTCAAGAGCGGGGCCGGGCGCGGTGGCTCAAGCCTGTAATCCCAGCACTTTGGGAGGCCGAGACGGGTGGATCACGAGGTCAGGAGATCGAGACCATCCTGGCTAAC